TGTCAAAATGGCAAATTCAAGATATCAAAATCAACATTAAGAAAAAGAAGTTTCAATCTAAGTCAATACTAAAGTGACTGACAGTTAACAATTCATAAACTGTTAGGAAAGGAAACTGGGCAAAGTCGTGATCATAAATTAATGCTTGTCACATTAACACACCTCTAAGAAACTTAAACATCAACAAATCATTACAGAATCGTGTCCATTGAAAAACATCACCCAGGAAAAGTGGGGTACCGATGATGCTCTGTGGGTGTAATGACCTGGGAATGAGGATGCAAAAGCTCACCACCAGCATCAGTCTCTTAAGATCTGAATTGACAAATTCCTAAACGGGATTTGTAAAATTTCACTTTGCGTCCTTTAGAGACAATGGGGATACAATTGGAGCAATTAGTATTGTTTGAAAGAGATGAAATGCTGGTAAAGCTGAGTTGGAACTGAGCGTGTACTTACATGGAGTGGAAATTTACAAGGTATACTTAAGCTTTTTGAAAAGCAAATAGACTTTGCCAACGTGTTATCTGAAACTGACAGCAATAACTGGCTAAAAAGAAATATTTCTGTAATGTTATTTTGCTTTCATGGCGAACTTGATGGTCAAACCTCGTAAATCTGCCACATTTTAGTCTTAAAACAAATTAAAAACTCGACATTTGAAGGGTAATTTAATTTTACATCTGACCGATTTTTAAACAATTTAGACTAATCAAGATAACGCTATTAATTACTTCTATTCTTCATCGATGAATAGCGCTACGTTTCGGTTGTCTGAGCAAGAAACAATACTTGGGAACACGGCATACACGGAGGATTACATGATTGACAGTCAGATTGACAGGCCTGTGTGAAGTTATGCATGCTCTCTTTCTCTTTTGTAGCTTATTTGCATTTTCCCGTGCGACGTTTTCCAATGGGCGCGATTCCTTAATGGTAATTTACAGCGTACAAAGTTTGAATCAGGTTTAAGTAATGTTTCATATCGGTTGTCTTGGCTTTAACATTTCGGTTTACTTGTATTAAGACTATTTCTCCTGGCCGAGATGCTTTTAAATGTGGTGAATTTAGCTTTAATTTGTAAACTGATGTCGATTAAACGATACTCACTACGTTGAAGTTGATGCACTGTGTTCAAGCAGTTATCGATGAATTCTAAGTTCATCGATTTTAAAAGAACAGTCTCAAGTAATTGAAATAAAACAAACGAACAACCAGACAACAATGAGATACTGGAAAAACAAAGAATTCATGCGCAAGGCTCCCTATAGATAAACAGGAACATGATGACATAGGCAACTTTCTCTTTCGTGATGACGCATTGAAGGTTGCTGATCTTTTATGTACGTAAACAACTACTGTAAATGCCAATTTAAAAAAATCACTTAAGCCACAATGAAACATGCAATATTACATTTTCTCGTGCGTTCATGAGTTAGAAATCTTGAGCATCCAGTAAAACCATCTAATAGATGCATTCTCGCTTGAGTTAGCTGACTACAACCTTACCTCCATTTCACCTTTACTCCACAATTGCACATGTCCGTGTTTGATGAAACTGAGCTACAGCTGTTGTACAACTTCAACTTGGTTAAATGAAATTTACATAATGAACTGTTTTACAAGTTCAGAGCGGAGCAGAAAGGATGAAACACGAGGATTCTTTAGCTGAAAGGCGACTTTCACTTCATCAACTTGCTGATTTCACGAGGAAACTGCCAAGCCCCGCCTTTGCATTCCAGCTAAGCTTGCCAGTCACGTGATAAGGTAATGTTTGCCGCAGGCTAGAAGTGCTGAATGTTTTAAAAATATATTTCATTGTTATTGATCACTCCTTGTAGTAGTAGTAGTTTGGCTCGACATTCTATAAGCGACCTTTATGCCACAAAAAGAAAGAGAAATGATCAGTGAAATACTGAAGTAAAACCATTCCGTGACTCCTTGATGACTTGTTGAATGTTGCGTGACAACATATAGTACTGAGTCACGGAATTTGTGTCTACACCGACTCAACTTCACCGACATATTTTATAAGCCTCTTCAGTTAGGAAACGTGTGTATTTCTGGAAAATTGTTACCGTTTCGGTATTCATCAAGATCGGCCCACTGTAACAGAAATGAGGTTCACCTTCGCCTGCTGTTGTAGTATCTCAGATCAGTTAGTCTAGAAAACATGCATAAACGTCTAGACTATTCTATTCGGTAAAACGTATCAAGCGTGGCTACCTCATGATAAGAGAACGAATTATTCCAGCGGCACGAGTATAATTACTGACCGAATTGGACAACATGAAGTCTTATTACCAATTAATCCTAAAAATTACAATTTCCAAACAAAACTACTTCTATCTTCTAAAATATTGTCATTGTGATTGAAACCAAGGTTTTGATTGGTTGATTTAAACTACAACTTTGAATGTGATTAGCTTATTAAACTGTCTGATAACAAACTGTCTGATAACAAACTGACTGATAACAACTTGATGAGTGAATTAGTGGAAAACAAGAGTTTTTTAAACCAATCACAATCGAGGAAATGTGATTTTTATGATAACAGTGTCCAGCAAATGAAAGGCCTTTCCATTTGCTAGTAAAATGTAATCGCGTGAGTTCTCTTCGCCCTGTGCAATGACACACTTAAATGATCACAGCATACGGAAACCTTAAAAATGTCCCTTGCAGTCAAGCAACCTTTCCCTGGAAGCCATCTATGTTACAGAATTCAACAGAACTTAAGGATCAGACCCAGCCCAATGTAGTAATAAAGGAAGTGCCACTCGATATGACAAAATTTACACTAAACAGTTTCCCTGTTCAAATACTGATGTACATATTTTCGCTACCCGTCGTGCTATATTATGCAGAGTAAGTTGATAGATCGATGATGTCTCTGTATTTCACCCATAAAATCACCATTGTTTCGCGAAATTTGGAAAAAACAGCTAAAAAAGATTGGTATGAAGAACACTCACCAATGCTTAAATTAACAATACGGCGGACGAATTAATTCGTTGTCTCCTGTTGTGAAAATGTTTCTGCTCTATTTCTGAATTTGTTGCGATCTCTCTTGATTATTAAACGAAAAAAAAACATATCCTCAAAGAAGGTATTCCTCTTCCACACTTTGTTTTTATTTGCAAAATACACCGAGCTACACAAAGATTCTTGCGAAGCCTTTTCCCTAGAAAGGGAAAATGTACACGATATAGAACTTGGAAATCTCTAGCACACGGTCACCGAGAGATTCAGGCTGGACAGTCTGTTGAATATTCAATATACATTACAACTTTTACAAAGTGTCGATTTACCCTAAATAGTGGCTATGCACGTAGTTAATATCGCTTTTAAATCACAGAAACCATTCCCTTCCTCTGTACAACAGATACCACTGTATAGCTGTTTTAATCTACAGACCTATTTTATTTACAATGTCTTTGGTATTTTTTACGAGTATCTTTACTGCGTGTACACATAGATAAATGTGAACCTTTGACATGAATATCATTTTCACGGAAAATGAGCTTTCACCTCCGAACTTCGAATTGTCATGTAAAGGAAGTCTTTGTAAATATTTCATTGAGATCTCAATCGCATCACGCCACTCCGACTTTGCGCGTTTTCGTAAGAGTCGCCATTACGACAGACAAATCTAGTCTAAGACTTCATAGAATACGTTATTTCTCAGGGTGAAGTTTCCTACAATTTCTTGTCAAAATATCAATAAGAGACTTAACTTATATAACTCATTTACAAGTTCAGCCATTGCTGAATGAAGTTACTATCTATAGTAAATTTTAAAAGCTGTGCAAAACTAGCCCTCGATCAATTTACATGTAAAGTCAGTGAACATTATCTAACTACGAGCACTTCAACAAATACTAATGAATAAGAATTTCCTAAGAAATTTCTCAGTTCCTGATTTCCAGGATTCTGTGAAAGCTGCCTCGAGCGCTTTCGCACAAAAGCACGTTTAAGACCTGATACATAGCTCTGTGTGTATGTCTATCGTTAGCTTCTCACGCGTGTTTTTTTTCTTAGACGGTTCTCCTGGGGTCTACTCATCGATGTTTGCCTGACACTCCAACAAAGAGAAGTCAAATCGCACAACGATATTCAGAGGTTTTGGTCAAACTTTAAAACTTCCGCCTAATGTGACAGTTCTGCTGAAGAACTACAAGGAATCAAATTATATAACAAACATATTTGCCCCTAAAACGGGGATTACATTCGGAGATTAACAATTTGGATAGCACGCCAATTAGATTAATCACCAGTCGTCCTTTCTTTTCTCGTCCACATTTTTATGTTTCTTTTTCTTTTTCTCCTTTTCCCCAGGCATGTGTAGTGATTCTAGTCTAACCGGTCTTCCCATAGCGGGCATCCCTCCCACACTTCCACCGCTTCCCTGGGGTGCCCCATTGTTTAAGTTTCCGCTGGATCCTCCGGCCCCAAGGAATCCGAGCTGAGGGCGGGACCCCCCTGAGGGAGGTGATTCTCGTCTGTCGAATCGTTCAAACCGGGTATTCTCAGCCAAAAGGCGGTCAGCTCTCTTAGGTTTAAAATAACTCGATGCGTAGTCTGCATGAGAGCTCCGCGAAAGATGTTTCAGAAAGAGATCTTCACTTGGCTCCTCAGGGTATCCCCCCACGTGTCCGTTGACAGCTTGGCTTTGACTGTTCATCTGGGGTCTATTAATGGGGGACTTCCGGCCTCGGGCGGGGTGCCCCCACCCGGCATAATCCCAGGGGTTGGAAGAGTCGTCTTCGTAATAACAAGTTCAGGGATATTCCATTTTCCTAATTCGTCGTTCCAAGAGCTCTCCGAGCGAATCCTGTCAATGTTGTAATAGTTACAGTCGCGGCGAATGCACGGCTGGATTTTATCTAAAATCTGTTGCTGAAGCTTAATCATTTGCTCTTGTTTACGAATCGTTTCCAAGTAATCTTCACGATCACGTTCGAATTCAGTTTGCAGATCGTCGATCTCTGACTGCGCAGACTTTAATTTCCTTCCATCTCATTGATGACATTGTTCTTGGCTTTTATTTCATCCTGTAAATTATCGTAAACCTTCACCATTATGCCATCATCCTCCATCTTCTTGACTGCCTTGGCAAGTTTTTCTCTTTGTGACAGAGCATAGTTTTTCCTAACCTTTCTTTTCTCCTTTAACTTCTGGTCATTTTTTCTCTCGCCACCCACAAATTTTTCTTGAAGTTCTTGCAATCTTTTGACCAATACATCGTTTGGAAGGCCTTGACTTAAAAAGCGTAAGTCTTCCAGTCCGGGTATTAGGTTCTTTACCTCCTGGACGCTTTTGATAGCCTTGTCTTGAACTGCCTGAAACGCACTCTGATGGTGGCTAGAGTCCTGCATGCCCTGTAAAGGTCCTGTTATCACATCCAATTCTGTGTTTGGACGCTGATCCTGGCAGGAATCAATGGAAATAAAGCGTTAATTAAAATGTCGTGTTCGTCTGTCATCGTAAAACATGCGTTGGTGCTGGATAGACACACTGACATGACAGTTGGAAGGACTCACAGTAAAAAGACACAAGAAAGACTGAAAGACAGGATTGACAGACTGAGAATAGACAGACAGACGGACAGACAGACAGATGGACAAAGATTAGACAGGCAAACTAGCAGAGAAAATCAGACACACAGTGAACAGAGAGACTCACAGACTGACAGAGAATAGACAGACACATGCAGACAGAAAAACAAAATGTGGAAGAGGAATGCCTTCTTTGAGGATATGAGTGTTTTTTTAGGTTCAACAATCAACAGAGATCACAACAACTTCAGAAATAGAGCAAGCAGAGAGAGAATACACCGACAGACAGACAGAAAGACAGACTGAGAATCAACAAACAGATAAACAGACACAGTGGGTAGACATGCAAGATAGACAGAAATAGGATGAACACACACAAATGATTGACAGACAGACCAATATAGGAAAGAAATACAGACAGAGTGAAACAAAGAAAAAAACAGTAGACAAACAGAAAGACACAACAACAAACAAAAACACTTATGTGGATGGAATGCAAGCAAAGGGAAAACAGACTGGGCTGAGAATTTAGGTAACTATCTGGCTAAAACCTCTTGCAGGAATAAAGGGTAACATTTGTCCCACCAACCAGTATAACATTGCACACCCTGTACAGTGCATTAAAATCACATTATCAGGCAGATAAACGTGCATGCATCCAAGAACATGGTATTATTTTTCAGTCAATGGACCAGGTGATGAAGTGTGATGGTCATTAGCTCTTGAACAAGCATGGTGACCACAATTAATCAGGACATTACATTTCTGTCAACAGTAAACCAAACTACAGCTGCCCCACTGTTTGGTAGCCCTCATAAGTAACTATAAATACCCACCATCTCATTTGCCGAGGGAATCATACCAATAGCACCCTCTTCCTGTTGGCCACCTGTCCCCATCCCTCCTGGGGTGACTGATGTCAAAGCAGTCTTGCCACTGTATTGTTCCTCAACATTGTGTACCTTGTTGTTGAAATCATTTTGTAGTTGTTCCATTTCTTCTTGAAGCTTCTGTTTGGACATAAGTTCTGCTTCATAAGATGACTTCATCTCAGCCAGCTTTGCCTCATACTCTTTCCTGAGATTTTCAGTTTCCCTGGCCACAACGGCAGTGTGATCCTGTGGTGGTGCAGCTATACGACGGGCGGGAACAGAGGGCTGGCCTCCTGCTAAAGTTCATACACAAGAGGTTATATACTTACATTAGATATAAACTGTTATGGCAACGTTCAAAGTCAACTTTAAATTGTCCTTACCAGTTGCAAAATCAGTTGGAATTTCCATCTGCCCCATCAACATTGCTTTAAGTTTCTGGATTTCCTCTTGGTATTCCCTTAGAAGTGCATCTTTTGGATCTTCATTGATCTTAGGTTTATTCTTAATATTCTTTGCACGATTTGCATAGCGCAAGGTACTCAGAGTTTCATCGTAGTTGTTGTCTGCAGGACTTAGACAGGCAACCATCAATGTCTTGGTGTTTCCACCCAAGGAATCCTAAAAAGGTCAAAACATTTTTCTCTATCAATGATTCCATTAGGTTTGACCATTGATGAAATGACCTTGCACAAAGGGATTTTAAATAACTAACATGAATTTTGCAGGAGACACAGTCACTAAGTGGACTCCATATCAACAGATCCCCAGTTAACCCTTTAACTCCCAAGATCTGATTGTTAATTCTCCCCTCTAGCTGCTTCACATTTCCTTGTAAATCAATTACAAGAATTTGGTGTTGGAGAAAAACAACAACTTGTACTTGATAAATTTGAGTATTCTCATTACCTGTGTGGTGGATAATGTATTGATTTTACAGGGAGAATTTACATGTTAATCACTTCTGGGAGGCAAAGGGGTAAGCCCTATTTAGAGTTATATTGATACATCCATGTGCATGACACTTGATTCTCCAAGTGCTTCCCTCCACTTGGGAGCATGAATAATTAGATACCAGCCACCTGGTGATTATTTCCAAATGCAAATGATGCCACTCATCAAGTAGAATTGGCAATATTCTCACTTTATACTTCAGAAAAAAAACATAATGAGGCACATGTGTGCTACTGGGGTTGCAAAGGAAAAGTTGCCTTTCACATTCCCTAAAACTTTTTAAAGTGTAGAGCACACTCATCAAAGTCTAGAGCTTTCCAATATCGTCTAAGATCAAAAGAACTCTGCTCAGAGGATAAATACTTTCCCTTGACAGAAATCACAATATACTTACCTGAAGCAGTCTGGTTAACTTGGAATCCCGATATGGAATGTGGGTTGACTTTCCGTCAACCAAAGCAGATATAACATTTCCCAAAGCTGAAAGTGACAGATTAATCTTTGTGGCTTCCTTCAGCCGGTCTCCTGTAGCGCCAGTTTTAGATTGTCTCTCACTCCCAGCCAAGTCAACAAGGTTGAGTTTACCAGCTCTAATGTGGTCTCCCTTCTCATCAGCTGTCTCCATAATCTCTATGTTTATGGTAAAAATTGAATGGGATCTTGATGAGTCGGCATTCATTAGAGTAGCACCTACTGAACGGTTCTTACTTCCAAGGTCCATAACCTTCTCCATTTCAGGCACACTATTCACAGGGTTCATGGTAAGATCCTTGACATAGACCCCTCTATCAGGATGTTCCTTAAGTTCCAGCTTTGTTTTATGGTCCTTTCCAAGAAGGTCCCTGATTTCTTCATTGTAAATCTCCAAATAAGAGGCATGAACTAAGAACTTGGTATTCTCTGCAACTTGAATGCTGTCAAAAATATGTTCAAATGCGCGTGGGATAACACCTCTTTGAGTGGGAGGGTCAGTTATACCTTGCATACTGAATGACTTTCCACATCCTGTCTGACCATAGGCAAACACAGTACCATTGTATCCCTCTAACACTCCGTCGACCAGTGGGAAACAGATGTCATTGTATATGGTCTCAGTAGTAGAGTCGATATAGTATGCACCATCAAACGTAAAAGTTTTTGGTGGCTGTGTCTTATCTCCAGGTTTGCTTAAAGCACACTGCCCTGTAGAGGAATCCATCTGAACCACAACCTCACAATTCAAGTCCTTTTCACGTTGGTTGAGAGGCCGACAACGAACAATCACCTTGACTGCTTCAGCCATGATTCTTGTAGAATAAGAAATAAGAATGAGAAGTTTCGTTAAATAAGCCAAAGAGATTCATATATTGTGTAATACCATGGTAGATATAAATGCTATGGTTCAAAATTTTCCTTGGCTTAGAATGAATCTTTTTCAAACTGCTCTAGTTTGATTTTTGTTTTTCTATGTGTCATACTATCTCAGGAACTGCAAAAGGCTACAGAATTGTGCAGCACATATCATATCCTTCTCTAATTACGATAGTTAAACTAATGAGGTTTTAAGTAATTCAAATTAAAATAAACTTAATATCATTGACAGGCCATAAGTAAAGCAATTATGAAGAAGAACACCATAACCAAGAAGACTCCAATCTACTTGAGTTCTCACTTTTGTCTGCATGATGAAGTCCTAACATACAATCTCAGAAATGCTGGATGCTAAAGGTATCTATTTCTCAACCTCCAACTAATCATTGTAAACAAAGTTTTAGCTATAGGGAAGCTGTGTTATGGAATAAAGGTAAAAGAATCAAACTCTCTCAATGAATTAAAAATGAAATGGAAAAACCACACTTTCCAAAGCCAGATTAATCAGCACTATCTTACATACTGTACATCAACATCCTTGTAGAGCAGGTTTACTGATTTTATAACAAATAGTTAGCCTTTCCTTTGTTAGTTTGTTCAGGGTTTTTAATTCTCTAAGAAATTGTACCTGAAATGAAAACACCGTGTTTAAATTAAGTTTAAAAAATAAAAATTTTAGCATTGAAGTTTGCACTGGTCAGCTGCAAGGTTAATGAAATGTGACAACAAACACGAAACCCAATTTCTTAGTGTGAAATAAAAATTAAATTTTAGCATCTTTTACCACCATTGAAAATGGTCATATACAAATCGAGGACCCTATTTATAAATGGGATAATACTTCAGGTGATAACTCAGCACACATTTACCTATGGGGCTGAAGTTAAAAGCTCGCCCTTGAGTACATGATGTGTGTTCAAACTTAAGTTGCACAAACTGGTATAACACCTGTCACACAATCGTTCCCAGGGAAGATCCATATATTCGACCTGCTGTACCTCAATTTTAAACCAAGTCAAATATGATTAATAATTTAGCTCGACCTTCATGGAATTTTCCTCGATAGAAATTATTAGCAAAGCTTATTTGTGTAAGTTCATACTATTTGGTTTGGAGCAAAAATTGGTATCATTCCCTTTATTCGCGAAAAATTGCATCCTTGAATTGACTAGTTCAAAAGTTCGCTCTATATCGAAGAGTAAAACAACTAACGAAGAAAATTGACATTACATCAAGCGTGAAAACAATGGTATCATGGAAACCGTGGAAAAATTAATGACACGAAGATCTTAATTGAGGTGGTGAGACTTCCTTTTAAGTTTAGGGATTCATTTATCTTACCTTTAGTTGGAATCAACTGCACGACTTCTGAGGTTTTTCGAGGAATCTACTTTCTGTTGTGCCACCACGCTAAGGGCTAAATCTGTAAAAGCTGAAAAACTCATCTTCGGATCTCTACGAACCGCATCATGCTGTGCGCATAACTATCTTCAGGAAAACCTTGCGAACAAAGAAAAACGACCGATCTTGGTTTACATCATCACATATACAGAATGTGGCTGTATTTTCACAACACTGCTCTTACAAAAGCGTTTGATGGGGAAATATTAGCAAATCACAGCTGAATTTAGGGTATAGTCTCTGTATGTGACCGCCATCTTCCTCAGTAATGACGTTGTTAGCCTTATTTGGAGTCAGCTTGTGTTAGATACTACCATGACAACCGTTTCCTCGGAGTAGGTACGCAGCACATGCAAAGTGCTGCTCAAAGCAATTCTCTGAAACAAATCCGAAAGCAGCATCCTGTCTTAAAAATGCACTTGAAGAGGTAAGGTCTTTTGAATTCTAAGGCCTTTGCGATAAAACAGAAGCCAACAGCTGTAGCTCCTCGTAAAACTTAGAAATAATCTGATCATTGTTTTCCTTAATCGAAAATTACCCCTTTGATATAACCTGCCCAGTCCAGCCAATTATTCTTGTTATCATTATTTTATTATTATTATTCATTATAGTTATTTCTATCAACTCTTTGGTTGTGAGGAGTGCTCGCTTTGTAAATCTCTCCTTATGTTTAATACAAAGTCAAGGATTCAGGTTTAGAGAATAAAAAAGACTCACTGGTAACAAAGGAATACGGTCTCGATAATTCTGGTCACTAGATTGCCATGACAAACGAAAAGGTTAATTTTCTCTTTGTTTGTTTGCTTTTTTTCGCTTCCAAGAAGTGCATATAAATCTGAAATATTGTCTTAAATTTGTTTACCTTTTCAACCTCGGGATGACCAATAAGTAAGTTCTCCTTTCATCATTCGGGCAGAAGAAAAGGAAACATCATCTTGGTAGTATTGCTGGATTTACTGACAAATTATTAGAGTCCATTAAGTTACAGGATATTTATGGCAGACAGTAAAGATAATTGATGTTGAGGTCCTAGAAGTAAAAGGCTCGTTATAAAATTTTCCTCTCGCTGAAGTGATTTCGAAATCGAAAAGAAAAGAAAGCTCAGAAAATGCAAAAGACCACTAGAAAAAAACAAAACAAAATAAAAATCATCATAATAGTTAAAATAAACATAACGAAAAAAAGAAGAAAACACATAATCATCTTTGAAAGGAAATCCCGAATACGTCATTATTTATTTATTGTTTCTGTTTTTTTTTTTTTGTTTTGTTTTGTTTTGTTTTAAGGAAGGGCGTCTCCTGACTCGAACTTAGTTACTAGCAGCTGTGAAATTTATCCACTATTTTGGAGGGCTTAGCTTCTGTTATCACTGCAAATTGGACGCTCGGAACACGCCAAGACTCTGGCTTGAAGCAGAATGAAACTTCCTATAACGAAAGTGTTCGAAGCGCTGTCCGGTCTTGCCAGCACAATTTGTCAAACAAAAAGCGTTTGAATAATTAACATGCATCAGAACGTTGCATTCTGATTCCTCGACATGCGACAGAAGTGATAATTCAGAGCGTTCTAAATTCTTACATTTTTAGTTATCATGACAAATCAGTCTCTCTTGTTCGGTTCTAGTATTAGCGAGGCTTGGCCTAATCCAAACAGCAAGCCAAACGATATTGAGCTCTTCCTTATAAGATCTTCGACTTCAACACACGCAAGGTTGCACGGGAAAATCGTTGTGAAACATAAATACTTTGAGTGACGTTCGCCTAGGTACATTTCGTAATTTATTGCAGGAGTGTCTGGAGTAAGCCGTCAGCTGATAGTAAAAGCTCCGTTTCGTTCTGTTTAACACAGTATGGCGAAGATACAAGGTATTAGCGTAACGATCCTTTCTTAAATTAAATTAATAGATTTTTGAGCTGCTATAGCAATTTATTTTATGGTCTAACAATTCTCGTTTCGATGGCGTTTCTGTGAGTATGAAAACTATGTGAGCTTATATGTCATCGCATTGTTCCTAAGTCGAACAGGGAGAATTACAAATCGGTTTCATTTCTTGTCCTTCCAGCTGGTCCAGTGGTCGAAATGAAAGGAGACGAGATGACGCGGTATGTAGATATTAATTTCAAGGGATTGAAGGACAAAGTTCACTTAAAATTGCAGTTGTCTTCGAATAACATCATACTTGCAAGGGTCAAATTTAAAAAGAAATGTACATTTAAATGTGCTGTGACTTTTTAGCTAAGATCTGTAGGATTTTTTTTTTAGAAATTGTCATTCATCAGACGATGAATTAAAAATATTGGACTGAAATTGCCGATTTTGTACATATTACATGCTGATTTAACTCGCGTGGACGAACCAACTGTGTGTGACAATGGCTGGGAGTGTCAGTTTTCGCTGACTAAGTTTGAAATTTGTTTCGTGACAAGATTGTGAAGGCCATGCCCTGACGAGACGTTTATTTCACCATCTCATTTGGTAGTGAAAACATACCTTGATTTTTTTTATTTATGTGCCATATTGCTTTTTAAAGTTAGTTTATTTTTCGGTGTACACCGTTAAAAATTTGTTTATAAATACGTCCGAAGATAGATTAAAGTTACTGCCAAACGAATATATCATTTAAGCCGAGACAAAAATTTCCAACCCGGAATATTAATAACGGAGGAAATCGCTGATGCAACTATGCATTGGAAATTCCTCTATGGTTTGATCTTCAGATACTGAGCTCAGTAGCTGTAATTATAGCGAGACTGAACCAATTGCTGTAACAATTTATTGTTATTTATATATTGGACATGTTAATTTTAGATCCCTTGAGAGGTTTTATTGTTTGACTTAGAAGTGCAATATTAAAAATATCCTAATAGTGGGAAGAGTGGTGTTTAAATTACTACCCATCTACCACAATTTTGTGGTAGATGGAAGAGTAGTGTATAAATTACTACCCATCTACCACAATTTTGTGGTAGATGGGTAGTTGTAATTTGAAAGACATGGTAACCTCATGATTTTCACATGGGCTTGAGAGTGAAAGATCTGCAAGGGTTTCAGGTCTTGGTTTCAATAACTTTAAATTTTTAATAACCAGCCAGCAATGTTATAGTAGGGGGCTGTGCCTGAAAAGGGGTAGTGAGGCAAAACCCAGACACTAGTGCCTATGCTTGCAGGTCAAAAAGATGGCTGTCAGAGGACTCACATGCAGCTGCTAGTAACTGTTTTTTTTAAACCCTAATGGTTGATGTTTGCATGGAATCATTTTGTTGCATTTGTGGGCAGAATACTCTACTCTTGCGGTTCTTATTCCCAATGTGACCTCAGTTATGCAAAGGTTAGATAGCCCTATCCACTGGATAGAGATTGATCCCTTGGATAGTGTTATACAGCCCTTGAAAACAAGGTCAGGAATATGTCATGCTTTTGAGATGTGAGATGTTCTCATATTCTAACTAACTATTTGCATGTCAAAGAATTTCCCAATCTAATTATGTACATGAAAAAAATTATAGCTGAAAATAAGTGCATTCTCATGTAACATGAGTGCAAAGTTAGTTATAACACAAGAGCAAAGTTGTAACACAAATGCAATTTACAAACAATGCACACACACTTTCAAAAATTTGTTTGTCTTGACTTTCTGTGATGTTTTTTTTCATCTGACATTTTGGTGCGTGAAGAACTTCTAAATTGTTCAAAAAACTTCAAATTGCACTTGTCCTATGGGCTCATTTAATTTTGTTGTCTTGGAAAAAATTTACTTGTGCCTATATAGTAACTGCAAATTGCACTTGAAATCATGTGATTGCTTATATAAATACCACCTGACTTTATTTTCCCTTTTCTTTAAGGATTATTTGGGAACTCATTAAAGATAAACTAATATTTCCATATGTGGAGTTAGATGTGAAGTCTTATGACCTTTCCATTGAGAACAGGGATGAAACAGATGACAAAGGTATATTATTTCATTTTATTGAAGTTTACACTTCTCAATCTATCAGAACATGCATATGTTTTAACTTAAAGTTTTTCTCATGTCAAAATATCTTGGACTAGCCAAATTTTTGGTGTCCTTTGTTTTAAATACCAAATTATTCAAAATTTTGGATTAAAAAAAAAAAAATTTGAGTCACAGCAAAAATTTGTTATAGGGTTTTATGAACCCATCAGCTCCTAGAAATAATGGACATTTTGAATCATGCATTATTCACAAACAGGGAATGGTTAGATTGAATCTGTTATTTAGAGGGTGTTAAGATCAAACCCCAGAAGTACAAAAATTAAAAATATATTTGATTTTTAATTATAACATAGCTAGTAAATTTGTGTAATCAAATTCAATTGCGCAAGTGTGCTTTATATTCCTATTGTGCATGCTCATGATGTCAGCAAACAAATCCCTCGAGAAAAAAAAATTTTCCATCTGGTTGAAAATGTTATAAAACAATTGGTTCATACATCAGCTGTGTGTTCATCGAGATATGAAGCACTTGGGAAGTTTGGAGAGCACTCAAGCTAGAGTTGCTCTCGGTTATGCCTCAAGCAACTCTTACGCATCTTTTGTGCTCTCCAAACTTCCCTCGTGCCTCGTATCTCGATGAACACACACTGACGTATGAACCAATTGTTAATTAATGTTTAAGCTATACAGACATCATAATACAGACATTGTAATCCATACATTTATTTTTGTTTTTAATCCATGTTTGCCAAATTTGACACCATCAATTTATACAACTATACCTCTATATGTAGACATAGTTAGACATACTTACACATGCATCAGTTTCCCCCTTCCTGCCCTATTAAAAAAAATTGTAACTTAATTTATTTAACAATCTGAATTTTGAAATTTTATCTTATGAAGTGAAGCTTTTCTCCTCAGTCACTGTTGAAGCTGCAGAGGCAGTAAGAAAATACAGTGTAGGAATAAAGTGTGCTACCATCACTCCAGATGAGAAACGAGTGGAAGGTGGGTAGCCTTGATCAGAGCATACTACACCCTTAGAGTTAATAAGTTGGGACATGTCTTTTTAACGCTTCTTGTGTTCCTATCTTGCCTCTCTTTCCTGTACCATGTTGTCAATTTTCAGTTTGTACATGGTACTTTAGTGACCAACTTTGAGAGGGGCCAGCAACTTTCCCAAGAAATGAGTCTGGAAGTATGCAATTTTACTTGCAATTTTTCGCTCAGTTCAGTTAAGATGGATTAAAAAAGATGCTATAGCTGTTTAATTTTGAGTTCTTATTTTGTACTATCATGCCAGTTGTTTGAAACATATAAGTACTTAATAGTTATTTTTATTTAATATCTTCTGTAACCCTTTTGCCCCAAGAATATTTAGTACTGTTATTCTCCTTGCAGGCTGCAACACAATTTTTAAGAGTTTAGTTCAGAGAATTTGATATTGGGTCAACAAAAATCCCCTAATTGATATTTTCCCTTTTTCTCATTGCATGTTTGCTGGATACTGTATTGATATTGTAACTTGGTCTTGTAACTGTCTTGGTCACCCACAGAAGCGAAGGGGTTAAAAGTACAAGCTGGGATGAATGTAGCATGGTGTTTTGTTCTAATGGAAGACATGACAAAAGGAACAATATACATGTATTATCTATTAAAACAATCTGGAAATTCATGGAACTGTACCCCAATTCTCTATTAAAAAAACAACAGCAGCTGTTAGACCAGAGGGTCATGAGCCCCAGCTTATAAATACCATTTTCATCCTTTTTTATGGTAATAATTCTGCTATCCCTTATTGTTGTTATGCTTTATCACAAACCACACAAGTGAAGAGTAATTTTCGTACTGGCTGGCTGGCTAGTTCAGGAGTGATTAGCAAGTTAACAATTAACCTCTGAGTAGTGGATAAGACAAGTTTATGTGTGTTGATAGTTTAATTTCCAACAATTTTTGTGTGGTATATACTAATTAAAAACAGTTTTTCACATCAGAGTCAGTGAAAGGGATGGATATTTACTTTGCTGCCTGGCAGTTCAGTAAATACCATCACTATTCACCTCCACTTGGTGAAAACATTGTTAATTATTGTAATTTTTATTATTATTATTATTATTATTATTATTATTATTATTAACAGTAATTATTTCATCAAACAAAATTCAATCTAAAGTATGTGGCACTCATCTTGTTGTTAATTTGACTTTCAGAGTTTAATTTGAAGAAAATGTGGAAATCTCCCAATGGGACAATTGAAACATTCTTGGTGGAACTGTCTTCAGAGAAGCAATAATTTGCAAAAACATTCCAAGGTTGGTTCCGGCTGGATGAAGTCAATAATCATTGGTCGCCATGCTCATGCTGATCAGGTATTGATCAACTAAAAAATTATTAATCAGTAAATTCCATCAATTCATGGTGTGTTTATTGTTTTGGGATGTTGTAAGTGGCCTTAACCCTTTCCTCCCAAAATATCATGTAAGTAATTTTTGTTAATGTTTGCTATACAATTCTTGTGGTTTTAATTCAGAGAACTTGACACTGGATCAACTAATAATTTTCTAACTGATATGTTTCTTTATTTTTTGTCACTTGTCTGCTTGATTTTGTATTGATTAATTGTGAGGACAAATTCTGCCTTGGTCACACAAAGTAAAAGGCTTTGAAGTGGCATTGATTATCAAATTACCAGCTAGACCAAGTATGTTATTGATTCCACTGGACTTCATATTAACATAATTTTTATGGTAAACTGAAAAGAACATTCATTCATGAAAAAAAAAATGTGGTTTTCAGTAGAGATAACAAAGTGATTTGATGAACAAAAGTAACAAACTTAGGGAATGACTGAGCTTTCAGTAATAAAGTTGTCAACAGGATTAACAACTTGGTACTTACTGATATATGTTATACATATGATTATACACACATGATTATACATATGATTTAAAATTTTATTCCAAATTAATTAAACGCATGTTTCTTCCTTCCCAGTACAAAGCAACAGACTTTGTTGTCCCAGGCAAGGGTAAAGTGGAGATGATATACACTCCTGCTGACAGTGGAGAACCAGTGAAATATGTTGTACATGAATTTTCTGATGGTGGAGTTGCAATGGGGATGTTCAACACTGATGAGGTAAACATGTAACATAGGATAAAACTGAGTCAATAATTGGAAAAGAATGTTATTATAATTTTCTTAGCATCGATTTATACACAATTTGTGTGATACTCCCAGCTTTGATCTCAGCCTTCCTCAGCAGTGTTAACCCTTTATGCCCTGACATCAGTTTGCAGGCTCTCCTTGCTGTTTTCCATGAGTTTGTGATCATTTTGTTTATTCTCATGACCTTAGTGTTTGATTTAAGAGTGATACTGTTGGGAGAAATTTGATGCTTATCACACTAAGGGGTTAAAAGGTTAACCAAATTAAAGATTGTGTGTCCTGTCAGTATACATTTATTAAATAGATAATAATAAATGTAAGATTTTTAACCATTATAGGAGTTGGCAAATTATTTACAGTTGGTTATTTTATCAACAGTCATTACTGTCAAACCAGATTTGCTGTTCTCATTTGAGGATTTATTGAGTTATTTCTAATTTGGTGCTATCAGTAGAAGACAAAATATCTAAGTATTAATTATCTGTTTATCCTCAGTCCATTAAGAACTTTGCCCACAGTTCTTTTCAGTATGCACTTGAGAAGGAGTATCCCTTATACATGAGGTAAAAGTATGATAAAAGATTCTAAATTTCCTGAAGTTGCAATAGTTTACATAATTTTGCTATATTATAATTCAATTTTTAACTTAAAGTTCATGTTTTCATTTTTTGAATGAATGGAAGTTATCATTGTTAATGATAATTTTTTTGTAATAGTGATCATTGTAACTAAAATAGATGTAAGGATTATCTGCAATAATTCAATACCGCCAGTTACTGGTTGGTATCTACTTGTTACTGCTCAGTGTGTCCACAAAAAGTTCTGGGTTTTTTGTTTGTTTATTTTGTTTTGTTTTTTGCTCTTAAACTTCACTGAAAGACATATTCTTGATTGTGGTTCTTCTCTTTTTTAAAGCACAAAAATACAATTCTCAAAAAGTATGATGGTAGATTCAAGGATATTTTCCAAGAAATCTATGAAAAGTAAGTCATATTCAACATCTTCCCATGATTTTATCATTAGATGCGGTCAAACTCTATTTGGTAGCCACTTTTGTAAGTCCAAAAGTGCCTTTTGAAAGTCCAAAAGTGCCTTTGAAAAAAAATCTCCATTGAGGGACCAGGGTGTCATTTTCAGTGGCCTAGCAGTTTGTGTCCTAGATTCTGAATCAAGAGATCCAAGCTTGAGCTAAAGAGCCCATATTTCTTTTTAACCATGGCCTGGCTAGCTCATGTTGTAGAGTGCTGGACTGCCATGTGGGAGGTCAAGGGTTCGAGCCTTAGACTGTACCAACACTCATGGTCTTTAAATAATTGAGAAGAATGTGCTGCCTTTGCTATATCTGCAGATGGTTAGACATTCTAGTCTCGTCAGATAAGAACAAAGAATGGTAAGCCCTGTCTCCTGTATCCTCACTGCACTTGTTAGCTTGGGACATTAGAGGACCCACAGACTTAACAAAAGATTAGGAAGGTAGCTCCAGGTGTTGTGGTTTGGCCTTGATTCTGAAATCAAGATTACCAAGCCATACATCCTTGTACCCCTTTGATAAGGGAAGCAGCTAACTAAAAGGGTATGACTTTCAAATTTGAGTCTAATCTTAAAACAGTTTCCTCAGATTTGATAGGTGCATTATATGTAGGTGCTTTGTTTTTTGCTAATCATTCTGTACAGTTGTAATCAGACAGTGTAATCAGGAAGTTGGCTGTAAGGTGACACCTGTAATCCCACAGTTGAAGCGCCCAATCATACTCAGTCCTTTCAGCCATATCCACCAATCACAGAATTGGTCACAATAACTATAGCAACAATCATATATCCTGAAAAAACTGTGGAACTTCCAAAACTGAGGAAGTTTTTACTTAGACATTGATTCTACTGCATATATTTGGCCTAAATGTATTATTTGTTGTTTTTGGGAAATTCTAATGGTTATGATTAATTGGTATTAGGATTTTGTGTCATCCAATTCTGTCTTTAATCACACTCATGATTGACAACTTGGACACCCACTTTGCAATCATCCCATTTTGTTTATCACTCTATGAGTACATACTGAATAGGACTCCACTTGGTCTTATTACCATTATAAATTGTTATGATACATCCAGTTCTTTACTGTACCTGCATGCGTTTAATCATGCTGCCATATTCATATTTAATCAGGGACTACAAAAAGAAGTTTGAAGAAAAGAACTTGTGGTATGAGCACAGGCTGATTGATGACATGGTAGCTTATGCTCTCAAGTCTGAAGGTGGCTTCATGTGGGCGTGTAAAAAACTATGATGGGGATGTACAGTCAGATTCTGTTGCTCAAGGTAGGATGTGTGCCTGAAGAAACGGCTTCATTTTGTACAATTTATTTTTTGTTAATTCTGTGTTGATTAATTCTAAGGCACCCATGTTGGCCATTAGTCTGACTAAAGTGCCATTCATTGTTGCCTGCAAGCTAGCCAACCAGTCAGTGATAAGTTTAGGCAAAACTCATTTTTGCTGACTTGTTTAATAAATATTATACTTAGTATGGCAGTGTTTAGACCCTTTCCTGTGAATTAATCAGAGTGTAGCTGTTTAACTTTAAGAATTAATTGTGCGCATTGCAGGATTCGGTTCACTCGGTATGATGACCAGTGTTCTGGTGTGTCCTGATGGAAAAACAGTTGAAGCTGAAGCTGCCCATGGAACAGTGACGAGACATTACCGTATGCATCAGCAAGGGAAGGAGACTTCTACAAATCCAGTTGGTAAGATTGTTTAGCAATTCTCACCTGGAAGTCATGATGTTGGAATAGTCAGGCAATTTTACTGGATTGCATCTGGTTCATACTGACTATACTTTTGTATCGCTCTGTGATTGGTTAAGAAAACTGTCGTCATTACCTCGACTCTTAACCAATCAGAAGCAAAAATTAAACCAGTCGCAACTAGGTCACCTGTGTTTTCCCGCCTTTGAGGCTGTTTAAGTTGTATTTGATATGAGATCCCAATATTCTTTGAAATTGTGAGAACCTTTTTTCAGCCTTAAATACTACCTTCCCTATTAACTACAGCCACTTCTTACGTGTTTCTGTTACACTTGGTGATTCATTATCTTTTATCCTTTAGCCTCCATCTTTGCATGGACAAGAGGATTGCTTCATAGAGCTAAGCTAGATGGTGAGTGAATTTTATTAAATAAGCTGAAAACAGGAGCAGACTAGGTGTGAAAACGGCTTGGAAAATGGCATGTTTTTGGTCTGAAATAGGGTCCGCTTTAAAAAGACCAGACGGCACAACTCTACTAAGATTTGCGAGGAGGTCTTGGAGCAGAAGGAAAACGGGGGTGGGAGGGGGCTGTAACCGGTTGCGGAGTTGTGTACTTTAGCACAGCAGTCAATCGTCTGCGCGTTTGTTAGATTTAATCGATTTTTAAGTATCTTAGAGGCGACCCGACATTGTGCTTTCAGACTGGAAACCCTACGAACTAGAAAGTCAAGTTGTTTTAAAAGCGTAAAACTTTTTTGAGAAAGCTCAAAACAAAAGGGTAAACCAGTAGAACACCTGTTACTTAATAAAATTTGTGTGATATTGATAATGAATAACGATGATAACCAACTTAATCTAATGAGGGTAAAACACGTAAAAACTGATGAACCAGTCGCCCTCTAAGAGTCTCAAATTTTTCTTTTTCCCTTCTGCACGAGACCGGATTTTTCCAACTGTCTTCCCATAACCCTTTAACCCATAAGAGTGACTAGCATGTAATTTCTCCCAACGATATCACCTTTGAATCAAACATTATGGTAAGGAGAATAAAGGAAATCGTCTCTATCAAAGGGAGCTCTTGATTTTTTAAACAAATTCTCCTTGTCAGCAGTTTAGGAAATGTATAGAGAACAGTTTGGAGAATGTATCTAAAGATGTTAGGTGTAAAAAGGGTTACGAAATTTGCGCGGGAAAATAGCCCCGACAGCCTTGGGCAGCCCAAATTTGCCCGTTTACCCGTTCGCGCTGTGTTGCTTATGCTATATGCGATTTTTACCAGGTAGCTTTTCATTTACGAAAAATATTATTTTTAAATTTATCAGGTAATGACAATCTTGCCAACTTCTGCCACACTTTGGAGGAGACCTGCATCGCAAATAATTGAAGTTGGTGACATGACCAAGGACCTTGCTGGGTGCATAAAGGATTACAACGTTCAGCGGTTTGACTATCTAAATACTTTTGAATTTCTTGATAAGATAGCCGAAAATCTAGCCGTTAAATTGAAGCAGTCGCCGAGCCATTTGTAACTAGTAAAAGCTATTTCAAAGTAGGCGAAGGGCTTCCTTCATTCTAGCAATATTATGATATGCAAGGATTTTTTTTCAGGCAAAGCTAAGTAAAGTATGGTAGTGTTGCAGCAGGTGGTCCTTTTACTTACAAATATAAGCCCCTTTATTTTGGAATGTTACAAAATTTTATTTTAAGCT